TTTTCAGTAGAGACAGGGTTTCACCATGTTGGCCAGGCTGGTCTCCAACTCCTAACCTCAGGTGATCTGCCCGCTTTGGCCTCCCAAAGTGCCAGGATTCCAGGCATGAGCCACCAAGCCCTGCCAAATACCCTGTTTCTCATGAAACTTTCACTTTCTGGTTTTACAGCCAAAGTCTAAGCAGAAGCCCCTGCAACCATTCCAACTCTGACAGAACATTGTTTTGCCTTGTTTTACGGATACATTGGGGAAACTTAAGGACAAGAACTTTAGAAATGGTATTTCTTGGAAACCTACTTGCTTGTAAATCAGTGATTGAAAGAAAATTTTAAAAAAAATTAATAAGAGATGAAAGCTCATTGAATATTTTTAAAATAGATACCTCAAGTTGAAAAAGATGTAAGATTGAGGCTTTCTTATATTTTAAGATTAGACTCATAGCTCTATAGCATATTATACGGGGCCCTTTATGGTTTAACCCGCTACCTGTCCTATTCCCAATGTCCTCCACTCCCTCTTATGTACCCTACACTTCAGCAATTTCAGCCTACCTCAGTTTCTCTGAATGTCATTATTTCCACTGTACTATAACCTTATATATCACTATTGTTCCCTCTGCCTGGTATGGTTCTTTTCCTTCCTTGCCTAATAAATTCCATTAAGGTCAAAAAAATAAGCGACAGAATTTGAGAAATGATTATGGTAAGTGGGAAAAAATTACCTAACCTAATATATACCATAATTTCAACTGGAGTTAAATAATAATAATAATAATAATAAGCTGGCTATAGTGGCACATGCCTGTAGTCCCAGCTACTCTGGAGGCTGAAGCAGAAGTATCACTTGTGCCCAGGAGTTTGAGACTAGCTGGGCAACATAGTGAGACCCTGTCTCTTATAAAAAGCAAACAGGCCAGGTGCAGTGGCTCTCGCTTGTAATCCTTACACTTTGAGAGGCCAAGGTTGGTGGATTACCTGAGGTCAAGAGTTCAAGACCAGCCTGGCTATAAACAAACAAACAAATGACCACAACCAAAATAAGCAGAAGAAGCAGAGGACCAGAGGAAATATGCCAGATGTTCATGGTGTTTCTTTGGCTGATTGGATTACCTGACTTTTATCACATCAGTTGTAACGATATTATGTTCATAATAAAAACTGAAAAAGTTGTTTTTTAACCGATACGTATATGTTTAAATTTAATTTATATTAAATAATGTTTTAACAATAGAGACGGGGTCAGGGCCAGGCATGGTGGCTCACTCCTGTAATCCCAGCACTTTGGGAGGTCAAGGCGGGCAGATCACGAGGTCAGGAGATGGAGACCATCCTGACTAACACGGTGAAACCCCATCTCTACTAAAAATACAAAAAGTTGGCCGGGC